TGATACGCTTAACTGATATGTAAAATTCTTTTATACATGGATTTGCACCTCCTTAGTGCCTCTAACTAATAATTCGTATTATACTTTTTATTTAAAAAAAATCATTTGAGATTATTCTCAAAGTTAGTTTGCATAATCATTTAATCTAACACTATGAACGTTGTTTTGAATAATTGGTGCCATGTGCGAGGCCCCTCGCCCAAGAGCAGGAAGTTTAGATATCTGATAATGGCTTACAGGATGCCATCATCATCAAGGTTGAGCTACAATGTCCGACTAATCTCCAAATGGCCATGAATTTGCTTGATTACACAAGAAATGAGGTGACCTTTCTTCACGTTGAAGGCCTTCGTTCTCATAAAAGCATGCACAATAGTTATGCCATGGGTGGTGATTTGCCAAAGTCTATGATTGTCAAAAAAGTTAAAAAGAACCCAAATTGAAGAACACCAAATGAAGAGGCTTCCTTTTATTTGTCATGTGTGTGCAAGGGAACCAATGCACAAAGCTCTTCTAATTGGAGGCAATGGAGGAATGGGGGCTTGATCTACAAGATGCAGCAAGCAAGAAGATCGCTCACACTATGCAGGTCCAAAGTTACTTGGCAGGATACCCTTTGTGGGCATCTCCATACTCCCCTTCCAACATCTTATGTAACACAGGAATAACAATATTTGAGAATTTCCAATAGGTCTTCTCCCGTAGAAAGCTAAAAATGCCATCCTCTCTCATAAATCTTGATTCAAAGATGAATAGTCTTCAAAAATCTTTTGATTAGTTTATAATCATATTTTGATCAAGCCATATTATAATTACTTGGTTATGAATGAACTAATAGAGTCCAAATTCTTATTTCAGCAGATATGGAAGGTAATCACTCCTCCCAGAGTTGCTTTATTTGGATGGGAGGCGGGACGCAAGTATATTTTGGCAACTGACAAATTTTGGTGAATGGCTATTTTCTACGTGAAAAGGAGGCAGAATCTTGTGGCTATATCATGCTTTGGTGCCCGTTTGCGCGTAAATTAAGGACAATGACTTATGGATTATTGGGGATTAATTGGATAATACCTGTCTCAGTAAAAGATGAGAAATGAGCCTGGAAAGGTATTAGCAATGGGAAAAAACATGTGGAACTCATCCTTTTTACCATTTTATGGGTTGTGTAGAACAAGAGAAATTAGAGCTTTTGAGAGGATTGAAGAGAATTTTGTTAGAGTTAGAGACAGATGTTCCATGTATTGGGTTCTTGATGATGGGACATCCAATTCTTTAAATGGAAGATTTTGGGATTTTATTAATATATTAACTAACTAGTAAATGATTTTGTACATAGGCGGTACCCCTTTGGTACTAATGAATTAATGATACAATATACTTTTTATTTTAAAAAAATAATGATATTTTCCAGAGTCATAAAAAGAGAGCCCCCAGCCAAAAGATTTGCTATCTTACTCACCCCAACTTCTTTAAGTTTTTTTGGGGGGTTGAGTGGGGGAAGGATCCAAACTAACTCAAACCAAATAACTCCTTTTACAATTTCCATGTTATATTGAACTTTTGAAACAAATGATTATAACTTGCCACTTTGACGACATATATTACAAACATCCGAGAAAAGAACTCGATTACACCTACTTATTCATAACACTGTTAAGAATAGCAGTTCATGTAAACACCTCTCTCCTTCCAAGTGTCGCAGAAGACACTGGCAAGAGGAAGATGATAACAGTAAGGATTTGGGCGATATTTTAAAAGGATTTGAGATATGCATTCCCGAGGTAAGTACATCCTAGTTCTCTTGCTGTGTTGGATGCCGTAACTAAAGTCATACAACAGGAAGTCTTAATCCAGCAGGTGGCCCCTCACCCGGCAGATTCATCATGAGAAGCTGTTGCTACCATGCTTAGCCGTGATCCTTCTTTTGCATTTGAGAACAAGTTGATAGTTGAGGTGGAGAGTGATGTTACGAGTTCTAACTATAGGGTCAAAGAAGCCAATAAAACAAATGAGATGGATCCCAGTCAGCAGAACAGCAAAGAGAATTTAACTAGAGTAGCTCCCTTTTCAAGCCTGGATTTAGATTATAGAGTCAGCAGATTTGATTTACTTTTCCTTGTTTCTCTCAAAAAAATTTATTTACATTTTTTTTGTCTCTATCTAGACGATTATTTTCTTTTCCTGATCTCTCAGAATGAATGAAAAGCATATGATACTTTTCTCCTCAAATTCCTTCAGTTATTTGCAACTCTGAATATCAGTATGTTCTCTATAATGAGCACTTACAAAAGATTCAAGATAAGTTGTATATGGACAAAATAGGTGCAAATTGACAAGATAGAAAAGTGATAACTGTTGCTAACCAATCAATCCTTAAGTACTGATGGAAGATCTCAAAATAAATATGAATAGTAAAGAAAAAAAGACAACATTCTCATGGATTACTTTTTTTTTAAGATAAAAGAGTAGGAATATGTATTGAATGTAAGCACCAAGGAGTTGCCACCCATGTACAAAAAAATTTACAAGTCAATGATCATATATACAATAAAACCAAAATCATCAAGGATACAAAGGTTACATCCGAGAAATGGACCCAAAAAAGTGAAACCATTTGCCCTTGATGTTACCAAAACTATCCGCTTTGCCCTCAAAAGTTCTATTGTTTCTTTCTTTCTAGAGAATCCAAAATATGGTAAGAGGAATAAGTCAAAATTTCTTGTTCCCTTTGCACAGAAACTCCCAAGCCTTTAATTCGTCTTTTATAGAGCTAGCGATAGTCCAATTAATACCGAGTAACCATGGACCGTGGCCCATAGCTTGTGAGTGAAGGGGCAGTGGAGTAAGGTGGTTACAAGACTCAGCATTTTCTATGAAAATGAAGCATCTATTGGTTAAAATTATATACCTCCTTTTATAAGATTGTCTATCGTGAGGATCCATTCTTTTGTTGCCTCCCAAGTAAAGTTCTCACGGATTACTATTATAACTATTAGACTTTTATTTGAAGCATGCGCATATATGGTGTATGTTTATTGGACGAAGCAAAATGCAATGATCTCACCTCACATAGCCTTTGCAAAGTGAATGGTGGCCCTTCATCAAAACTATGAAGCACTGTAAAAACAAGAATAGGAAACAAAAATAAAAATTAAACCATCACGTGCAGCAAAAGAGCATACACAAGCAAACTGGACAATATAAAGCAAATAAAGAACCGATAAACCTTTTTTGGTAAAAGAGAATGGAACCACTAAACCATTAATAGTAAATGCATTCCCACAAATCATTGAACTAGGCTCATAAAGACACTCATCAAGAAAGAAGAAAAGGTTCATAAAATCAAAGTGACCAAGTAACTAAACCTAAAGAAGAAGCTTAGGGGCTCACAGATCATACCCCAATTTCAATGTGACATTTTCCTGCAGAAACCACCTACTGTTTTCCTTTCGAATAGCACAATCTTTTTTCTCAAAATGTCTCTTTTTCTGTCAACAGGTTGATCACTGACTAGTATAAAAAAAGTAAAGGTCAAGTGGCAGGTTCTTTTTTCCAAATTGCTAAGGGAGTTTGTAGGTACACACACAAGCACATGCAAATTTGTGTTTTTGCATTCTGAGAGAAAGAGAGAGATAGAGAAAGAGAGAGAGAAGGTAACCTATACCAGTTCTCAACTAAATTTTAATCTTAAAAAGTTACATAGAGCATCAAAGCAAGTTCCACAACACTCTATGCTACTAAGGGCATCAAAAAATCTATTCGAGTACTTAACTCAGCATGGATCACCATTTGAATGGAATACAAACCATCCCCAATCAAAGGAGAGGGCAAAATAATTCTAAAAACATGTCTAAACTGATGAAAACTGGTCCAGAAGAAGGCTTATCCAACCCAGAGGAACTGCACTGTTATGCGATGCAGTCAAAATCCAGAACCAGTTTACCAGTCTTACATTTGTTCTTGGCACCCATGGGAAAAAGAAGAAAAACAGCAACATTTCTCCACCAAACAACAATGCCTCCCCAACAGGGTATTCCACTCTGAAAGTAATAGCCTAGTAAGGGACTCTTACGATAATAGTCTAGTAAGGACTTTTGGTTTAGATATTACATTAAAAAGCCTCAACAAAGGCCCTCGTGTTAGGAGTTGGAACATGACAACAAGGATCTATAGTATCCTGAGGAATAACGGAAGACTAGCTGTGACAGTTTTCCCTATAAATATGTTAACAATCTTCACTGACAAAAGAATCTATTAATTAGTCTAAAAATAGAACAAGCTCTAGTAGTCAGAGGTTCCCTATAAACGAGCCTCAACAAAGGTCATCAAGGCCACAGATCCAACTAGCAAAGCTGCTAATTTGATTGGAGGACTTTTCACTACAGGACCCATGACAAAATTTCAAGCCTGAGACAGTGAAAAAAAAACCGGTATAAGAGGTATCAATCATGTGGGACTTCAAATCATTACAAGAACAGTTTGAGGTCTTCCGAAAGCAGTACCAAGAGGATTGAAACCAACCAGAAACAAGGCAGTATAAATTGATGATCTAAATTGAAAATCTTTCCGCAAGCTATTCGGTGCCAAGGGGATGCAACAGGCGTTGTCATTAACTAGTGCAGAAATAAGAGAGTGATAAAAATTGATGACAGATGGACAGTTCCAAGGAATTGCCAAACTGAAATTTCTTCATTTTGATGGGAAGGTTGATTGCCTAACCTGGTTAAATAGGTATTAACACTTTTTTCAAACATTAGCAGATAGTCGAGGAGTACGAATGTCCTTTCGAACAATTGGAGCATCTGCCTACTGAACAAAATGTACTATATAGCCATATTGGAGGAACTACAACACTTTCCTGATTTGACCACAACCATAGCCTTGCCAAGCTTTAGGAAAGAAGGGAAGAAGAAGTGGACATATTCCTTGCTAACCAAGCACGGGGCCAACATCCACAACAAGTCGCAATTCATTAAAAAAAAGTTAAGCAAAGAAGAGATACTGGAGGAAGAAGGGGCTTTATTTTAATTATGACAAACAATTATTCAAGGACAAGTATGTAAGAACTATTTTAGCTTGAATTCACAAAAAGAATTAGAACTTGAAGCTAGCACTGTCATAGGGAGCTTTAAGGAAGAGGACTCATACATGTTATTAGCCTATTACAAGAGCCACAACAACACAGACAATGAAAATCAAGGTTATAGGTGTTGGTCACACACTTCTCATGCTAGTGGATTCAGGAAGTATTCACTGCTCCATTGATGAAATATTAGACGCCGAATTCTTTGTTCTAATAGAGCCACAACGAGACTAAGAGTCATGCTGACAAACAAAGAGCCCATTCAGAGCCTAGGTATGTCTCATAACACTGGAGTAGTTTTGGATAATTATCCTTTTTCTTTCTAATTGTTCGTCCCACCCCTCAATGGGTTCAAAGTGATGTTAGGTGGAATTGACTATGTAAACTAGGTCGATCTCATAGGTTTTTGCATAAATGAGTATGTCCTTCCACCACAATGGTGGCACCATTAATCTCCAAGGTATGGAGATTATGGAGGAAAAAAATGGAGCACAGCTAATGACTCTTATAATTGAATAGAGTTGTCAATTTGAGTTACAATAGTTGCTAACAAACTTTGACTCCATTTTTGCATTCCAACAGGATTACCGCCCAAACAAGTTCATGATCATGGGATCATGATCATATTGGAAGCAATATTAAACGTTAGGAGATGTTCGAGCAAGGAATTATATGAGCCAGCTAGTCTCCTTTCTCTCTGGTATTTGCTAGTTAAAAAGGCAAACGATACCCAGCATCTTTATGACTATCCTGTCCTTATTTAGAAAACAATCAAGGAGAAATTTCCTATTCTAATAATTAAGAACTTGTTGAAAGAATAGCATGGAGCCTAGTTCTTTATAAAGTTAGATCTATAATCCAAGTATCACTAGATTAGGATATCTAGAAAGTATGAATCATCTTTTCTTCCCATCACGGTAATTATGAGTTTTTTTCTAAATAAAAAGAATGGTATGACTGATACTATACAAATATCAAGAGGGTGCCAACTTATGTATAAAAAGTATTTACATGTCTATTAGAAAGTCAATGAAATCCCCAAAATCCTCCATTATATAAGAGGATGACGCATAACCAAAAAACCATGGGTCTATAATCATCTATTTTTAACCCTATCAAAATTATCTTTCACCCCTTCAAAAGCTCTCTTATTCCTCTCTTTCCACACCACCCAAAAGATAGTAAGGGGGATGAAACTCACTTTTCTTCTCTCACCTAATACCTCTCCAAACCAAAATCTCTTTCTTTACAGATCCAACCATCGCCCAATTGATCCATAATAACCTATAAGTCGTGGTCCATAACTTATACACAAGCAGCACCAAAAGAGGATGTGATTACAAGACCCGCTTCCCTCTTGCTTATAGAATAGTCATTCACTTAAATCTTTCCCCTTCTCTTAGTTTGTCAATAGTAAAGATAAACTCACAACCTACTTCCCACTCAAAGAAAACAACTATGAGTGGAGTATTAACCTTCTAGATTTGCCGGAAAGGAAAATTGATTTTTTTGTGGCAATTGTCTTAGTCAAATATTTATACAAAAACTGAGAAAGACCCTCTCGGATTAAGTCTCCAAATTGATTGATCCTTACTCTCATTATTTACTGCAGGAGGAGAGTGCACTTATAAGAGTCGTATAGTCATTAATTCCCCAATCATTAAGGTTTCTCATAACTTCCACATGTCACTCTATTTTCCATCCCGTTATCTCTGAAAAATTCAAAAACCTTCTTCTATCATGCAATAGCATAGATATGAGTTCTTAATTGTATTGTTTTCCAAAGTGCTCATGAATCAAGTTTTCTGGTCCTATCTATGCAAATTGGCATTGCTTTTCTTCAATCATGTTCTGACCTACAACAGAACATGGCGGGACATACTGGCCATCTTAGGATAATTTTTTTCCATGTTAAAGGCTCATAGCTTATTCTTAAAAAAGTCCAAATGTCTCTTTGCTACAGTTGCAAATCTCATATCAGGGCCATACTATATTTGTAAATGGAGTGCCAACCAAAATTTTTTCCATGTTACAATGGCCAAAGCCAACTACCATTAAAGGCTTTGGATTTACTAAGTTTAACTCGGTGGTAGAGAAATTTCTGAAAGATTATGGAATTATTACAGGACTATTGGCAGCCATGCTAGGTAAAGATGCATTTGGTTGAATTTTTGAGACTTCAGTTGCTTTTGAACAACTTAAGAAGGCATAACTACTATACTAGTCCTAGCACTTACAGATTTCCGCAAGAGCTTTATCATCAAGTGCAATGCCTCAAGCTATGGTATAGAAGTAGTACTACAATAGGGAGTCAAACCTATCACCGTTATCAGAAAAAGCATTAATAGCTTTCCCTAGCATATGAAATAATGTTTGTTGGTTTGGATCAATCAACATGGCACTAGAGACCCCATTTGTAGGGGAGGTTGTTTTATGGTTCACACAAATCATTATAGACTTAAGTTCTTATTTTGAACGAGAGATCAGTTTCCAAAATAATGCTGCTTGGGAAAACTTATGGGTTTTGAGTTTATGGTGGAATATCGAGCAAGGAAAGAAAGTTTGGTGGATGATGCTCCTTCCCACCACTCTTAAAATCAGGGGAAATTAATAGCTACCTCAATGCCTCAACTTGATATTTTCAACACAATCATATTACTAACTCAAATTACAAGAAAAAGTAAACTGATTACAAGTTTGCAGCAACAAGTGAAAAGTGGTCCTTCCAAAATGGCTCACTTCTCTATAAAAGAGGGTTTATTTTCTACCCACTTCTTTGAATTTTCTCATATATTTCTTGGTTTTCCATAACCAAGGACCTAAATGATATCAAACAATGAGTGGCCAATGACTTTTATTGGAACGATCTCAAATAGTAAAATACATGATTTCATCCGATAATGTTCAATTTTGTCCATGCCATTTTGTTAAAGCAACAAGGTTGAACAACTTCAGCTCGTAGATATATCGCAACCCTCTCCCATCCCTCAGCAAATGTGTTGAAGGAATTTTGTGGAAGGCCTTCCTCCTTCAC